AAAGAATTTTCAAGAAGAAATAGAATGCACCGATCTCGCCCCTTTCAAGTCGGGTAATTTAAGGTCAGACGCAGCGTAAATACATGCCTGTTTCAACTCGTCCATTCCATACAATTCTGCTAGCTTTATATGTCTATATAATTCAAGAGCGTTTTTCATGAAATGTTGTTTCATCTTACCAAGCAGAACTTTCTCGCTTCGCCTTTTCAGTTTTTCGACCTGATACTCACTCGCTAATGGCAGGACTTTGTATACATTTTCATCTGAAAATTTCAAAACAAATGTTATCATTATTATTAATTGATAATAATAACTATACGTGTTATCTTGTTGACAAAAGTACAAAACTCTGCCGTTAATCTGAATTTTGTTTATTCAACGTTTTAAATGATAAACTATTTAGTCGTGTACATGACAAAGAAATGTATGTTAAATCTATATCATTTACCCTTGAAACTTTTAGTTTTTATATCAATCAGTATCGATGAAGAAATGTTTTCGTTTTTTTTTCACTGATGTAAAATTTATCTTGTACCTAAGAAGATATTTCTACATTTCTTTCCCCCAGATTTTTTTTATTTTACTGGTATATTTTCTATACTTACTATAAATAAACAATTTTTACACCAAACAAACATCTCAACTTAACAATTGTTCGTATTCTTAACCTTTCGTCTGCTTGTAACAATTGATTCTACCAATGCGACTACTGCAGACCAAGATCAGCCTGCACGTGTGTGTCGTCTGCTCATGATCGATACTGTTCGCTGCTTATTCAGTACTTTTTACTTTATTTAAAATCTCTTTGATATTGAATGGTTTTGCCCAGATTTAATGATGGACAAGTCCATATAAGATATTAAGGGTGTTAATTAAGGTTTAAATAAATATTATAAGCACAGTACCTGTGATCGTCTTTAATTTGTTTGGATAAATACATTTCAGGAATTCCACAACGTCGTCATATTTCTTTTCAGGTAAATCTAATTCTGTTGTTGACTCTAGTATAGAACACAGTTTAGGTGAAGCCATGCAAAGCAGTCCTTTTATTACAGGAATAGTTCTGCCCTCGACAGTCAATTTTAAATCAGCAAGACCACTATTTTCTCCAAAGTCTAACACCTCATCAAATGAATCTTTCATTTCTTTTTCCTCTGTCAATTCCGTTTCCATCTTCCACTACTATTTTTATAACTTCTTTAATGTCAAAGTTTGTGAATCAAAACGACTAATTAATATAACAATCGCAATCGGCGAGGTGTCCCGAATGCTTATCAATAATTTATCTCTTAACTCAATATGACGATTATTTCAGATAATCGTATCTTGATCATTGATATTGAGTAATGTTATTGGTCACTTGATAAAGCCATCAAATTTGGATAATCTGTAGTTTCTAATCTAGCTTTGGGCGTTAAATTTTTGTTTAAAGATACTTTAAAAAAGTCGGTAGTTAAAAATAAGTAATATGTTTCATGCATGTGATACACTCATTTGCACAGTTGTTATAACTAGCTGCATGCTTGTGTGTGCAAGAAAATTGCGGTTGAGTTTGCGCGTTGTTAAAACATCTATAAGGTGCGTACATCTGGGACAAACGACTTTTCAAACATGTATTAAAAGAATTGTTTAAAACTGTATCTTGTCAGGTATGGTTGAAACGCAATGAAATAATTACATAATCATTTATGAAGGATATACATTTTAAAAGGGTGCTAATTTGTAAAGTTCAGTGGTTGTGTCCCTTGGTGACATGTACAATGACAAAACAATGAACAATGTAATGATTTACTATTTTATTATTTTTTCTTCAGTTATAATAAATAGACAAACTCGTAAGGATCACAGTTGAGTATTATTTGGTGTGTGGTTTACATAACTAAAAACGTTTGATAAGTCGTACTTCTTGGATCCTGAAAAAAAAGAAATTAAATGTATACATAAAAGAAGATGTTACCAAAATAATCGGATAAAGCATTAAAAAGGTCTATTTACTGAAGTCATAATTGTCTTTGTTACAAACGTTTGTCTTCATTTGAGGTTTATTAAGTTTGTGTACTTTGTGTGTCATTCTTAAAAAACGACAGGGCTGCGTTTCAAAGAAAGTCCTAAGTGTATCCTAAGTCCTAGGACATAAAAACAATTTTAGAACTAACTTTTAAGACTGTTTCAATAAACATTTTTATCTTCTGTCAAATACTTTAGACCATAAATAAATTCATTATCCTGAAAAGTTAAGAAATACAATGGCAGATCTTTTTACTCGCAACGTGTAAATACCCCTCAGCATTGCTATTCAGAAATAAAAAGTCTAGAATTAGGACATTTTTTAAAAAAGCAAAATTATCCCAGTTTTGGTCTTAAGACTGATTTCAGACTAAAGACTTTCTATGAAACGCATATCAGCTCTCTGTTTAAAATGTAAAGGTAGCCAAATCTGAAATGAAATCAGGTTAGATACTCAAATTGTTTGAATATTGAATGCCAAGTTTACATACCTTGTTATTATTTTAGATAATAATCGTAATCAGAGCTTGCTTTGGAGGGTTTCTTGCCGATACCGAGACCCCCGGAGCCTAGACCTGTGCTCGAGAACAAGAGGTTTATCACAAAGATAAACATAAACACTGAAATATAAAGAAGAAAATAAGAACACAGTCTTTACTTTTGTTTTATATAAAGTGCTCTGAAATATATAGCATAATTATATAGAACATAATAATAACATGATTTGAAATTTTTATCGACTAAGTGTGACTTATTAATAATTAATCATAGGGCACAATCTTAAAACTATATCAATAAATAAAATAATCATTTATTTGCTTTTACTTGACAAAAGAATATTTATTTTACTGAGTTACATACATTGTATGATACTTCCAAACATTCCCATGCCTCCTGCAGAGCTTCCGGTGCCGCCGAGGAATCCTCCGAACCCTGAGGGGGCGGTCATGTAGGGAACATACCCATAACCCATGTTAGGCATGTATGGGTAGCCTGTGGCCTTCTGTCCAGTCATTACACTTCCGTAACCAAGAGCCATACCAATACATGAGACCAGAGCCAAACATCCCAAATAAACCATTTTGTTCATACTAAATAATAGAAAAAAAATCTTATCAAGACATACATGTAAATTAAATGAAACAAACAGTGACTGATGTACTGAAGAGAGTGTCATATAATATTTAAGCTTTTTACTCAATCCTGAATGCAATTTATATATTGTAATTTTGTTTGTAAATATTGAAGAAGAAATAAATGTTGTTTAGACCAAATGAAACAAACACTTTAATTATCATTTGCATTTCTTTAAAAACTGACCTAACATCTTATTACATTCTAAGCTGGATGCTAATTACTTACTTGTTCTTTTTTAAGATGCTACTAACGTTGAGAAAGACGTTGATTGTTTTTGGTGATTCTTTCTTTTTAACCTTGGTAATGTCAAGTTGGACGACACGTTGATTCTACTGTCCATCAACAGAGGCCGTATATTTATATGTATTTTAACTTTGTACGGAAGAGGAAATTCCTATCCTTAAAACGGGAAGATGAAAACATTTCCTTTAGTTTACCACTGATTTACGTAAGTATATTTGTTATAATCAAATATTTCTAATAGGTAAAAACCAATAACCAATATTATATACATTAATTAATGAATTAGTAATATATATTTTTATCGAATCGATGAAAATTGTGCACGCCTTTAACAACTGAGGTTATTAAGTATATTAGTATATTAACATTGAATTGTAAAAGTCTTTTTTAGAGTTTAAAATTGTATGAAATTGAAAGAATAAACTAGGTTGAAAATATTGTATTGCTGCAGTCTTTTTGTAAGTATAAAATAAACTTATCATTTTTGACTTAGTGTAGATATGTTATGCTTTAAATCCTTCACACTATAAGTGGACACCCTATAAATATAGTGTCATTTAGAAAACTGGCAGTCTTTTTTTTAAAGAAAGACAAGCTAACGAATTCAAAAATATTTCTTTTTAACAACCCTCAAATTTTATACTGAATATCGGATAGCAGTCTTTTAATAAATTTAATATATTGATGACTTAATAATAAGTAAATGGGGGATATGCTATGGTACTTAGATCTTAGAGAAGTTTTTCGTCGTTTCATTTCAATAACCTCGTAAATTTTAGTACGTATGTTAAAGGCACATTATGCCTCAGAAATGTGTAAATATTTACTTCTTTAGAAAGGTCAAACATGAGTTTTATAACTTAGAACAATGGTTTAATAGCATGATACATGTTTGTTACCTGAAGAAAATAGTAGTTGATGTAAAACAGTATGTCATTAAAGAAGCAAAATGTAAACAAAGTACTATTTTAAATACACAATGTACACTTATTGTCAAAAGACAGTTCAGGTAGTTGGCCAATGAGTAACTTGTTTGAAACTATTAAAGAATACCAAGAATAGGAAGACTTTGAAAAATAAATATGAAAGCATAATGGGCCTTTAAACATACAACTAAATTACAATACAGATTTTTCAAATGATTTTGTGGTTCAGTCATAAAGACATTTAATTACTGCTGGAGGCAGAAAGTAATTTTCACCGAGTCACCGTCAGTAACCACGTCAAATGTATTTTTTTTTCTTTCTCATTTTTTTTTTTTTTTTTTTTTTTTTTTTGATCGGCGAGAAGAAGTAAAGCTGCCGTCGTTATTCTGGTCGTATAACGTGATTATCTAATGTACCAATGTTCAATATAATGATGAGGCACATGCATGTGCTTGGCTTGCTGGTTTATAATGAGTGTATGACGATAAAATGACACTTCTCATTTTCCTTTCGGAGCGTGCACGTGGCTGAGAGGGGGCAGGGCATCGGCAGAAGATTTGAAGACTTGGGATGGCGCAAAAAAAATCAGAACTTGTACTGCGGACTAGCTGCCGGTGGCCTGACTAATGCCGAGGGGAGGAGTGGCCCTACTATGTAGGCAGACGACGAGGTTAGTATGCTAGGGTGCGGGAGCCCCTATCACAGATAGATGGCTTGTAAGACAGGCCTTTTGCTTGGCACCAACAGCCCTTTTAAGGGTTACCTCCTTTCATTATTGTCTCGAGTTACTGTACATCTAGGTTCTCATTGACCACCGTACCTACTTTTGACTTTGGCTAATATTCCGTGGAAACTCCACGGAGGTAAATTATTACCACTTTGTGCTTCAAAATTAACCTTTAAGGGTATGACTAGTGACATATCCAGGTCCCGTACTCGACAGCCAAGTCTACTTTTTGTGTCTTTACATTTAGACTCTTTTTAAACATAGACTACATACAGTACGCATTACAAAAAGACAAAAAGTTAGATTGTGAATTAAAGCTTTAGTTAATTGGTGTATCCACATCAATAAAACAAGAGCAAGACATTATGTTACCGACATGTCTGTATTCTAGGCTTAATGAGATCCATTAGCTCTTTCAGGCACTGAGAGAACGGACCAAGAGGTCGAGACACCTGACGTTTTAGCTTTATGTACATGCATTGCGAAATGGTAGAGATAAATTGACATGCTGTGCAGGTTATTGTTGTTTTAAATAACAAGGTCCAAATAAAAACAACTGTGTATTTTACCATAAACAGTGTATTTCATATTTTTTAAATACAAAAGTACAAACAGTAAAGCAAATTTCAATATGCAACTTTTAATCAATAGACATTTCATCAAAAGAAAAGTGGAAACTTTTAAACACTTTTGAGACTGATTCTAGACACCCTGTTATTAAAACATGAATAATTACTTTAAATCTCTCACATTGCTTTTCAAGTTAAATGTTTTAATTAAGAAGTTTACAATTCTTATTTCTCTTCACTTAAAACAGTGAATAAAATAATTCAACGTTTACCTATAAGTAAAAAAAATACATGTACAAAAAAGTATATATGTGTTGTAAATAATATCATATTGATATCAAACTTGATATATTTGATTTTATAATACTACAAGTTTGTAACTTGGAATTTCATTGGTGATTTGAAATTGGGTAATCTTCAAAATTAATTTCATTGGATACCTATCACGATAATTATATTACCTTTATAAATTCTGTAAATTCATGAATATATAAATTCTGTAAATTTATGAATAAATTTTCATTTTTCATCAAATAAAATAATTGTACAGTATAATAAATTAAATTATAAAGATTTTTGACAGGTTATATTATTAGTTATAAAGATTTTTTTTGACAGGTTATAT